GTGTACCACCAATAATTATCCACGACCCTGGGTAGGTACTTAACTCTTCTGTGTCTCCATTTCTTCACCTGTAAAATGGGGATAATGGTATTAATTACTTCATGCATCATTGCTCTTTTAGAACAATGCCAGGCACATAATTAGCTTTTGTAAATGTTATTTTTCATCATTATCTTTATCTTCAGTGTGAAAAATCTAGTCAAGTTGAATGATCATGCATTTTGGTTACAACTGTATCTGTTGTGTTCAAAATTAGTTTGGGAGACTGAATTATAGAATTTGACTATTACACTGATCCAGTAAACAAAGAATTGCCAAGTTTCCACTTGGCTAATTGATATGTATGTAATTACTGAGGAGTTTTAAAAAAATACTCAATTGCATCTTGTTTCAGGATGTGTGCTGCTCCTGATATTGTGCTACCTTTTTTGCATCTTAAGCACAGTGAGGTAGAGAGTAACTTCTGAAAGTTCAAACTCCACAAATGCTTCTCCTTTATCCCTGTTCCTTCCCACTGCATTATCTCTGACAATGCTTCTGTCTCTCCATGCGGCATGGTGCAATTAGCAACAATTAATTAACCTTACAGAAAACCTGTGTGAAGCTGATTTAAGCTCCTTTTTTTTTCTTCTCTCTTTGTGCCTGTAGAGCTTAGGGTTTGAGAAGAAGTTCAGCCAGCAGGGATTTCTTTTGCTTTTAGTACACCTACCACAAATCCAGTGGATGTTTTACATGAGATTTATTTTCCCTATAGTTTCATAAAGCTTTGAAAAAATAAGAATGCTTACCATTTCTTCTGTTTTCTGCATATAATTTATTTAACTTATGCATATGATTTCTTATTTTACTGTTAATGTGTGATTAGCATTACCATTACTTTCAGGCATAATAAACATAATGTCTTCCTTTTAGACTCTTCTAATCTTCATAAACAGAAAAAAAATCATTTGCCTGGAAAGCAATGATTTCTTAGTCAAATATGCATGTTATGTAAGTGGTCTATGCACAAGATAACTATTAGTTTTGATCACTTAATTTTCTTATTGCTTTCTTGATCATCTATCTCACAGTAAATCAGTTAAATGTAATTGATCAATTATTTCTGTATCTAAAAAAAAAGCATAAGGGTGTAGAATCAATTATTCATTCTGGAAATCAACTCACAGCCCCTCCCATTGAAATAAAACTATACAAAATAAGGACCTGATATCAGATATGATGAAGAAAATATTATTTCTGTCAAACCCTAATGTTATAAATGAAAGGCAATATAGTCTTTTTAAATGGAAGGTGAATTAAAAAATAAAAATAGACCAAATCTAACTAAGAAATTTTGGTCTGCTTTTTAATGAATGATTTGGTTTCTTATATGTTTTATTTATTCTCTTTGTTAAATTGCTGAGGACCCCAATTTTGGAATAGATTAAGTAGTAACTGGCAACTTATATTTAGCAGAGATTGTTGGTTCACAGAATGTTAAAATCTACATATTATAAAAAGCCTATTTATTTATTTTATTTATGACTAACATTTATTTAATGTCCTTATGTGCATTATCCAGTGGATATACTGGAATTTGTAGACACGGTCAAAGTAATTCTAATTTTAGATGTATGTAATTGGCCCTGGTTTATGTTTTTATCTTGCCACAGTTTTCCTGTGCACCCAGTGAATCACTTTATCTCTTGGTATGTTTCTTTATTTCAAAGTTGCCTCCGATTATCTCTCAGGAAGTCTCCTGTAGTCTTCTTCAGATCTGAGAGTATTTGTGATGCTTCCCTTAGTTGGTACTAGATGGTTATAGCAACTCAGTTTTCCTTGATTATAATCATATAGTGTCACCTAGCTATATTAACATAAAATAGCCTCTTAAAATAACTCAATCACAATCACAAATGAGCTCTCTTAAATTCTGAGACTCTCCTCATTTCCCACGTTAGGGCATTTTCTCATATCATTATTACTATAACAGCAATATAATTATCCAACATTAATAAGTACCTACTGTATGCATTTTTTACTAGAATCCTTGAATAGATATGTATAAAAATGTATGTGTTAAATATTTCACCGATCAGTAATCATCATGTTTTAATACTACTGATATTATGAAACTAATTTGTTTCAAAATTATAAATTGTTATAATAATGCTTTGGAAAACTTGTTTCTGCACTTCAGTATACCAAAGCATCTTGAATTCTTTTTCTTTTTGAATACTCTCCTGAACATTCTCTGCATTTGATTAAAAGTAGAAACAAAATAACAGTTAACTTGGCTTTTTTGTTTTATATCAGGTTTGCTGCCATTGTCATATAATGAGTAATTTACAAATGGTAATGATTTGCATAATAGATACTTGTTTAGTAATTTTTTTTTGCTACAAAAGCAATGATTTTAATCATATTCTTATTTTAAAAAGCTCCATATTTTTCTCCTCTGATGACTTTAAATGTTAGAGTCAAGATAATTCAGTATCAGAAAAAAAAAGAAAGTCAAGTGTCATCATTCACAAGAAAAGAAGGAAAAACAAAATGTTGAAATCACTAAGATACAGATTTGAGAGTTTATTTTTGATATATACATGTGTCAGTTTTTGTATTTCCTATTCTTTTGACTTATTTGATCTTCATCCAGCAATTACATTACTTTTAGTAGATATACCATGGTAATAATCAATTTATAGTCCATAAGCCATTCTATCTTTTTCAGATTTATGTATGAAATTAAATCTATTGATTAGATGCTTACAATTTTCCTTAGACATTAAAATTCTATGATTCTTTGAAAACTGTGGATATGTAGTGTTTCTTCAAGAACCAAAGATTTCAATATCAGCATATGTTTTCAAGCTTTATCCTAAAATGTAGATAGCATCAGACAATCTGTTACCAACTGAAGTGAAACAAATTTGCCCAGCTACATTTCAGCAATTAGAAAGCTGTATAAAGTTTATAATCAGGTAAACTAAACATAGTCTATTTGTGAAATAGGTAAAAAAAATAAATGGACCAGAAATTAAAATACTGTGAAAAAGAATGATGATTTTATATGAACTAAATAATATCTAACTTAAAAATATAAAAATATTAATCACATAATACATGGAGCATTTCTGTACATTGAAATTAAATCAGTTATGATTTTTTTATTTAATTTGTAGCAATCATCTTGCTCAAATTGAAAATTAAATTTCATTTGGCAGTCTTGCTTGTTTCAAAAATCCTTATTTTTAGCAAAAAGGAATTGACAAGTCTTCTTAAAACTTACCTGTTTTAAGCAGCTGTCTTAGTGTTTAAACCCACGAAGCTGAACTTTCCTCTTATACTATCGTTTTAGTCATATACATATGTATAGCTAGGATATTATTAATACAAAGAGGTAGAAGTTTTATGTTTATGGTAAAGAGAATGACAACAGTTAACCCAACAAATCAAAAAGCAATGATTTTAAAGCATGCATTTTAATATTTAAGAGTGATATATTTGTGAGTATATATACACAAAAATATATATGATATTTTTAAGTAGCTTACTTACTGTTTTACTAAATTGGCTGTCTTTTTTTAGACTCAATAACATTTTACTAAAAATTCTTTTAATAACAGCACATTTTAGACCAAGATAAGCTGTAATTTTCTATAATCAGTGTAATTGTGCTTAAAGCTAACCCAGTCAATATGATCTTTCAAAGCTACCTTTCCAACATCACTTGCAGATTTAGTGATCCTGCAGCTATTTGGCACATAGGTCCCTACTTATCTTTCATTTTGCATTTCAGTTTTCACTGTGAATATTTTAGATGTTCCATGACATGGTTATGAAGGTTACAATTTATTTGTTCCAATGTGTTCAATTACTCTGAAGAAGTTAACTTCGTCTTTCTTTAACATATAGTTACAAATGGACTCTTTTACTCTCACATTATATTTAGAGACCTTTTGGTCATTATCTAAATGTATTTGTAACACAAACATTTATTTTCTAACCTTTCCCAATCAACCATGATTTAAAAAAAATACTTAACCTTTTAAGTGACAAATCTCCTCTAAATTCCTCCAACATCTATTATGCAACTCACATTTATGCCCAGTATATTGTGATCACCCTTAACATAGGAAATGCAATGTTTGCTATTATCAATAATTGGCAAAAATCTTGTGCCCTGTGCCAATCCTTTTATAAGTGATTACAATTTCCTTAATGGAGGGAGACATATATTTTTTCAGGTCAAAAAGAGTTCAATATAAGCAAGTTCAAATATTTCAAACTAATATGTACACCCACACATATTAATACATACATCACACATATACTATGTAAATGTTATATATAATATAAAATCACCCATTTATTTATTGAGTTAGGGACACAATGCTCAGTAGTCTGCACATATCAGCTTTAAACACCTGTCTAAATAATTGCTCTGCTTCCCTTTTAGAGTTGATTCAGCTTATATTACTTAACTAAGCTCATACAGGTAGAAAGAATTAGGGAAGATTCAAACTCAGGTTGACTGCCTGCCTAGTTTATGGTTTTCTTATTTTGCTTCTCTGTACAAGGTAGTCATTCAACAAACACTTGCCCCTACTATTTGATTTTTTATAATGCTCAACCCAAACTTTAAAGATCATTTCTAAAACAACTGAGAAAAACTCCTTATCGTAGATCCACTGCTATTAGAAACAATGGTGACCCTGAGGAGGAATCTAGAATTCCGCATTCCTTCTGAGGATGTTCAAATGACCTGGAAACTCCCTGATGCTTACAACCTCCTCTGGCTGCTCTTAATCATCTGCTGCTCATGGGGGCTCCACCAAGAACGGGGGAAAAATGGTTTTCCTCTGCCTTCCACTTTCCAATGGTACCCCTGTGGATACCAAAATTTTCATGCTCTAGTCCCTGAAACATTTACAGATAACCTACAGCACATCCTCCCATATACTTTAAATTATCTCTATTATAATACCTAATACAATGAAAATGCTATGTAAATACTCATTATAATTTTTTTAATTTGTATTTATTTTCAATTTTTTTTTCATAATTTTCACTCTGCAGTTGGTTGAATCCATGGCTGTAGAAACCAAAGATGTGGAGGTTTGACAGTATATCTATGCATTTATTTTAATAAAGTCAGCCTCAGAATCGATGATTTCAAGGGAATATTTTGAATGGGAACTAGGGACTGAGCTGATGGGAGAGATGAGAACTCAGTGAAGAGGAAACAATTATACAAGCATGAATTCAATGTATTATGCCTCACCTTGCCCCCATTAATAAGAAAAGGTTGTCTTTCCCAAAGGCCTTTTTTACCCCTGAAAAAAAAAGCTCTATTTAGGAAAAATGAGTACAGTAGCTTCTTAAGTGAAATTTTACTTAGTATTTCTGTGATTTAGTGCCTGAATGTGTTAAAGAAAAAAATACATAAAGAAAGGAAAGAAGCATGATGATTATGAAACATCTGTGGTGTACCCTACATGCACTTGAAGCGTTTGGTCATGGACCTTGCTCATTGAAAACCTTCCTGCTGCTAGACTTGCTGAATGAATGTTGACTGTGGAATGTTGACTTAATTGGGTTGAAGCTATTAATCCACTCTGTCACCTGCTCATGGTGCCAGAGGATCCTGGCATGATATTTTAGCTATGCCCACTTTCTCTTCTTTTTCCTCCAGGCCACACTATGAAACAACTGGAGTCTCTGCACAGGGCATCACAGCTCTCAGAAAATTATCAAAGTGGTTTTAATTGCTAAGCAGAATTTTTGCTGACAGTATTCTAAATCACTGTAACCTCAGCAAGTACTAACACGGAGACCAAACAGTATGTTTTTCTTGGCTAGCATTGCTGGATGGCTGAATTTTCCAGGCAAATTAAATCTACCTTTTAAATCTACTGTCTCAGGACTATTAGGAACAATGGTGGCCTCTGAAGAATCCAGGAGTCTGCATTCCCTCTGAAGATGCTCAATCCACCTGGGAACTGACTGATGCCTACAAACATCCATTGCTCTTCATCATCTGGGGCTGCTAAGGACTCCACCAAGAACAGGAAAAAAATAAAACAAAACAAAACAGTTTTCTTCTTTCTTCCAACTTCCACTCTCTACAATTGGCTTCCATGTGTAATGCCCATCAGGAAAATTGGAAGAGGAGTCTGGGAAATATATTTTCCAGCTTCAGAGTGACTAAGGAACTTATAGCCAATGGACAGGACCCAGAATGATTTATTTCATTTTATAATTCTATTTTATTCTAACCATTGATTCATTGAGATGAAGTCCACAAAGTGCCTTTGGCAGTGATTTGACCATTATAAAGTTACACACTAAATGTCAGCTTCATAGGTGAAGGTCTTGCTAAAATCAGTTTATATTTTCTTGCCTTCTGTAACAAAGGCAACCCAATATAATTTAACTTTTTCTTGATGACTCAAGGTTAACTTTAGAACATCAATTTTTACACTGGGATCACCGCCTTCAATGACTTTTGAGCTGCAGAATGATACTTGTCCCAATGCTAATGATTCCACACTCCTACAATTTTGAGGTCTATATTCTTCTTTTTATTTGTTTTAATCTTCTGTCTTCTCAGCAATAACTTCATGTACTTGTCAGTGTATACCCATTTTGTAATATTCTTATTGCTCCTAATTTTTAAAGTCGATTTGTTATATGTTAAGATCCAAGATAAGCAAAATTTTTTTATTTGTATTTTACAGGAAGGAAATCTAATTGAAACCAAGTGGCAGCCAGTGAGAATTTCCCTCCTGAGCAATATGATTGAGAGTACCTGTTCAGAGATCATTTTTGTCCATTCCCTGTTTTCCTCTATTTTTCAGAGAGTTGTGGTTGTTTGCTAAGAAGCCTCCAGGTAGTTGAGATGTTAATGTAATATTGGCCAGCTAGCAACAACAGGCTAATTTTGTGAATGGCCTGAGGTACCTTCTGAATGATTCATCTCATAATAAAAATTATTCCATAATTGAGAGAAATAAATCCTTTGCCTTTATGAACACAACAATGGCTTCTACTGGAAATTTACAAAAGTCTCTTGCACTTTGTAGACTATGAGTAGGAGCTTACGAACTTAGAGAATCATCCAAAATATTTTCACGCATTACTTCTAGATCTGATATTAAATATATGTGTATTTATACAGTGTGTATATGTGTGTGTATCTTTTTGTGGTGTTGTGTATGTGTACATGTTTGTGTATCTATCTACTGTTTGTTGGAGGGGAATAGAGAGTTTCAGAGACTGAAGAAAAGAAAACTGGGAAGAGAATATTTTTAATAGGACCTAAATCTAAGGATATCATCAAGGAAAGCTTGACACTCCCCTCTATTACCTTATAGCAGGACTTTACGAGCTAGTACAATTAATTGTCCATACATCAAAATAACATCACTTTTATCTATTCCTTTTGTAGTGCTGTCCACTTACATTTTGGATCTTCTTACCTTTACCCTCTCATTCCTAGAACTTAAAGAATCAAGCCCCAGGCACGTCATGATGGAGACCATGCTTTCCTAACATCATTCAGCTGCCTGTTCCGTGCTTCTGTCTCTCAGTGTTCTGAAAGCTGAAAGGGCATCATTGAACATACACAGCACTGAGGGACAGTCACACAGGCCAGTGTCACATAGCCAATTAGTGACAAAGTTGGTACAAAACCTCAAATCTCTAGGAATCCATAGGTTTGAAAATCCTCAGAAATTTATAACTGGGAGAAGCATAATGAGGATGATAATTTATATAATAAAGGTAGCATATTAGTTTTCTATTGCTGCTATAAAAATTGCCATAAACTCAGTGCCTTAACACAACACAAATTAATTTTCTTACATTACAGGTAGGTGAGAAATATGACATGGGTCTCCCTTGGCCCAAATCAAGGTATCTGCAGGGCTAGCTCCTTCTGGAGACCCTAGGATAAAATCAGTTTCCTTGCCTTTACCAATTCCACTGACTGCCAACTTTCTTTTGCTTATGGTCCTCCACTCTCCCTCTCCAAAGCCAGGAATGGCTGAGTGAGCCCTTGTCACTTACTATCATCTGACCTCTTTCTTAATGACACTTCCCCTTAACTCTGGCCTTTTTGCCTCCCTCTTCTAAGGGGCTCCTGTGATTACACTGGATCCACCTGGGCACTAGGATAATCTCCCTATTTTAAGGTCAGCTGATTGGCAAACTTAATTCCACTTACAATTTTAATTCCCCTTTGCCTTTTAACTGACATACAAGCTCTAGGGATTAGAGCATGGACATTTTTTGGAGGCCATTATTCTGCCTACACTAGTCAGTAAAGGTAATAATACATATAAATGCTCCCATCGTTTCATTTACTTGTCATAAAAAGCCTATCAGGTAAGAAGTAGTAGCTTCATTTTATAAGAGAGGAAATGATATCCTATGGGATTTTAGCTTTTATTGGTGGGAATTTTTGAGAAATATAAACATAAAACCTTGGAATTTATAAGGCTTATATTCTGTAAAAGATAATTAAGTGAAATTAAAAGGAAACATTACAATTTTCTGTTGGGGAAATCCACAAAAATACATAAAGAGTGGTTTTAAAAAAGCTTCCATTTTGTGGAAAAGAGGAAAGAAAAAGGATACTAATGATCTTAGACTAAGTAAGAAGTTATAAATGAGTGTTACTTTAAAATAGCTTTATTTCCTATCTCCAATATCTAAGACCCAAAAGTAGTTTAATGATACAGGTGTGAACGAAGGAATCAATACTGACTCTTAGTTTTTGTAATAATTCAACTGCAAACTGTCTCCTTAGACTTCTCCTAACCTCATTTAACCTCTCTGAAACACAGTTTCCACATCAGTAAAGAAAGTGAATAGTTTTTACCTTGCAAGGTAGTAGTGAGGTTTAATGAGATAATACAGGAAAACCAACTAGGACATAATAACTGCTCCATAAACTATAGCAGTTGCTAGCACTTATTTTCACTAGGATTTTCCCCATGTAGACAGGATATGATTTTGGGTTGTCTGGCTCACAAAGACAAAGAAGGGCTATGACATGACTGTCCTCAATTTTCAGCTGAACCATGTGTAATATATTTTTATTCAAAATTTGAAAATATTTCCCATATTAAAATTTTCTTTTATTCCCCCCTACAAACCAGTGACAAAAAATAAGACAAACAGTTCACTCCAAGTATTCCTTCAAATAGCGAATTCCTTTAGGGCTTTGATATATGCATTTGAAAAAAAAATTACCATTTAATCAATTGTTTGGAGAAACAAAGGTAAATCACAGTGGATCCAACTCTTCAGCTCCTTGCTATCTTGACTTATAAACAATTTCTTCTCTTGAAGAGAGCAGTAAACATTTATTCAATGTATCAAATTGTGTAGGATTCTTAGAGTTTACCATTTGTAGAATTTGGAGATCATAATGACCAGAGAGTCACTCTGCAGATGTGTCAGTGCCTGGGTGGCCAGACTGGGGCTACAGAACCAAGTGGCCTTAGAAATCTGATGCTCACTATGTGAGTACTTGCTGAATCAAACTGAACTTAAAACATCAGTGAAGACTAGATGCAATTACCAGACAAAATTTGGGTTAGAGTCCTGTGCTCTGGTGATATTGCACTTCCAATAGTATTTGAATCTACTATGTTACATTATATATTTCTGAAATTATCATAAATAAAGTTTCCAGTTAATTTAGAATCCTAAAAAAGCAAAATGTTATTTCTTTAAAGAATATAAGGAATTGTTTATAGGAATTGTTTTTCTAAATACTTTATAATAATTTATGTAATTAAGTAATGCATTATTTCTCCCATATTAGGACTAATATAGGTTAAATAAGTCCACAAAAGTTTAAAGATGTTTTAAATATTACAAAAGACCACAGTGGCTTACTTAGATTTAGTGGATTTTGTTAAAGAAATAGAGATTTTAAAATGTCTTTAAAGATAAAGTCATAAAAAATTACAAGAGTTTGCTAATAGTTTGTCATATCTTTTTATTTAATTTCATTTAATACTTGTTTTATCTTTAAACTATGTGATGAGAAGACTTACGTAGAATATGAATAGATATTTCCTCCATTAAATTGAAGCAAGAAACTCCTCATTTAATGTAGAGTATCATTAGAAATCATATGAAAACTAATTTTATGCCTTGCACACACATTCTATTTTTATCAATTGTAACATTTTATTTTTTTTCAAATTTCACTTAAAATTACCTACCGTTTAAGGTCAACTATGCAAACTTTGCATAATTCAGCAGCTCACAAAGTCATCTTGTGTCTGTTCTATGCCTCTGTGAAATTCTAGAATAAGGTTACAGGAATTCCCAAAGTTTGGGAATTTTATATCTATATGCATGTATATGTGTGTGTGTCTGCATATAGGATAGAATAGTAAATATAGATGAAATATGCAGTCATCAATATTTACTACCCTATAGAGCATTTAAGGATTATAAATATAAAGACATGATAATAAGCACATAAATATATGTACCTTAAGGACTTAAGACCGTGAATTTAAGGCTATGGATTAAGTTAAGGACTTAAGGATCCAGATTGTTACAATAACATGGTTCCACGAAGAGGACATTGGTGTAATGAAGGTGAAATGCGTGGTTGCATTGCTCAGCTGAAGACAGTACTGACCCCTGCTGACCGCTAGCCCTACTGACTTGCCATGGAGTGCAGTTCCTCCCTTTCACAGTGTGGTTACCACCTTTATCACCTTTACACTGCAGGCCTTGATACAGGGTGCCTACTACAGTGGCTTGGGGAAATCCTATCCTCTAGTCTTGTATAATTAAGACACACGGGGCCAACGTAGTCCTTAATGATGCACATAAAATTACATTTATCCGTCACAACAACAGGGAGCCAGTGATTATTATTAACATTTAGAAGAATGCATTTTGCAAATTTCAATGAACTTTAAGAAAATCATAAGAATGATAAAATCAACACAGTAAGACTAAGAGAAGGATATGGATCAGACTTGATGCATTAATGTCATGTACCCAATATCACAAAGTTAAAAAAATTGGGAGAAAAGAATTAAAATCAGGGTCTATGTCCCAACCCAGCTCTGTGAAAATGTCAATAACAACACCTGAACACAATCATAGTGTTTACTTTTTGCCAGAAATAGTTTTAATCTCTGCACTTTACATGAATTCATTTGATCGTCAGAAGAACACTTTTCAGTAATTCTATTATTATTCTTATTTTACGTTGAGAAAACCGAGGCAGCGAAAGGCTAAGTAAAAAGCCCAGATCACACAAATATTCAGTAAGAAAATTAGAATTGGAGCTAAATTTCATGTAGCTCCAGAGGCCATGGTTTTAACTATATCTACTGTCTCTGGTAGTACACAGGCTTAAACACAAATCTACATCTCATTGTGCATTAGGGCTATTGCCTGCTTATTAGTAATTCTCGTCTTTAATTTAAAAGAAAAATGCAAAGTAGTAAATATTTACTGATCATCGGAGTGTCAAATAGAGAGTCCCATAAAGTATAGGGAAGAAGGCCAGCACATTGCTTTGCTTCACAGTACCTGCTTAGTAATTATTTGTTAATTGATTAGTGGGCATGCTACTCTATGGACTGATTGCAAAAACAGCCTTGGAAATTCAAAGAAAGGTAAGGATAAGCTGTCATACACAGTATCAGAAACAGAAATGGTGAAATAAGTTCAGACTCTTTCTCTTGAAATATAACAAAGTCCACTGGGCACATATTAATACCAACTCACCAGTATAGATGTATGAAATTTTGAAGTTTTCAAGGATATTTCAGGAATATTTCTAGAATGTACATTGGTTTCATGTCCTATAGACACCTGTTCATAATCAGGTGATACTACCATTTTAATTTCATACCAAGTTTGATGAAAAGGATATAAATGCATTCTAAACATACTCTCCAATTAGGGATGTAAGCCTGATTTTATCAGCTTCTGACAGCTTAATATGCTGAAAATAGTGGGGTACCTTTTCAAAGCAGCATGCTCTAATTTACCCATGTAGCTCATGTTTATTTTAATGGGAATTCTACCATAAAATCACCACAAAACACTTTGAACACTTACCCAACTGTGTCTACCAAAAGGAAGGGAACATTAATTGAACTAAAAAAGGAAAATAACTACTTAACGTCAGCCAAAAGGATGGTCTCAGTTTTTCTCAATTTCTCAGTTCTTATGCTTTGGTTAAATATCACAAATAAGAACCACCTTAAAAATGTTTTAAATTTTAATTACATATTGCCTGTGTCATGCTTCAAAAACCAGTCTAACTCGGGACATTAAATAATGGGTATTGATCTGTTAAACTATCAGTCTTCATTCTTTACCAGTCAAGAATTCTAATTAGTCATAATCATATTAATTGCAATATAAAAAGTCCAGTGGCATAAAATTGGGAGAGTTTTACCTCATCAGATGGCCTCTTTTCTCTAAAATCATTAACATCTTGTCACAGGCAAAATATGTTAATTTATACTGGGTTTTAAAAATGGGTAGGACCACATCTCTAAACTAATGATTCATAAAATCATTTGCAGCTATTAGCCTATAAGGCTAAGTGCTACTAGTGCTTTTATATCACTGCTTGGTGTGATACCATCAATTTAAAGTCTATCTAGTGCCTGAGATTTATATATATATCACACAATTCATTGATGCCTGTCAGGTTTTTAAAATTTGCATCACCATTTATAAGTGTCACAACGTGAAATAACATTCAGCCAGGTATTTTCTCAAACCTCCCTTAACTACCTGAGCCAAATCAAATGTCCTATAAAAGCCAGTGTCAACTATGCTAATAAGGAGTTCCACTTCGCCATAACTTTAGCCAAACCTGAGCTTTGCAAAGAATGTGTCCACAATCCAAAGCCCAGACTGAACCAAAAGAAGAGGGATGCCATGCGCAGCAGGGAACAGATGTTCTTCTCACAAATTCTTTGTCAGGATACAGTGTGATCTCTCTGTCTAAATTCATCTTCTTGCTTAGAGAAATGATCATGTCTTTGTACTTTGTTGCACTCTCTAATGAGGAGGTGAACATGCTTACAGATTTTAATTCACAAGTCCTTACATTCTTCAACACCTTTCTTTTGAAAGCAAGTGATAAACATCTTTTAGTTATTAACAATTCAGAGGATTAGAGAACATATCAAAGGCTACCATGCATATTAATGGCAATAAAACTATAAACAGGTTTTATTATTCTCTGTATGGACATGTAACATGTCATGGAAAGGCCGTAGGCCTTGGCCATGGGGCAGGATGAATCAAAGTGATTCTACGAAGATTTACTGGACAATTGCCACACAAGAGGCATTCTGCAAACTGTTAATATAAACTGTTTAATGCAATATATCAAATGACTAATGCATGATAATTGTCAATATACATACACCGTGCTCCTGGAACCCAGATGGAAGTGTAAGGAAGGAAGTGTACACTCATGCAAGTATTATCTAATTTAGGAGAAAAATAACAGAAAAAAAATAATACAAATGGACCAGCTAAAGGGCATTGAGCATAAGTAGATAATCCCTGTTCTGCCTCTAAATAACAATAGTAACTTGGGCAGCAAGTTATTAATACTTTTGGTTTCTATTTGTTTATGTTTTAAACATATCAGTATTATCAAATTTGAGATGCAATATCATGATTTACTAGGTTGTGGACTTTAGCTGGTTACTTAGCCCACCAGATCTCATTTTCCTGCCTAATAAATAGAGATAGTAATAATTGTTCCTATGCTATCAGATTGCTGTGAAGACTGATTGAGTTATTTTATTTAAAGGACCTAGTACCTAGATATCCATCTGGAGCAATTATAATTATTATTATCATAGTTATCCCTGTGTTCCAAGAAAAATTAATTTTGTTGAAGGAATTTGGCCACACAAAGAGCTAAAGTAAATAAATAAATTCATTTCAAAATATAAATAAATTTGATGGTTCTGTGTTCAAATAAGCTTGGAATATGCCGTGTCGAAGGCAATATTTTTTCCTTCAGAATAAAGAGTCTTTAATATGCTAATATGCGCTGTAAATCTCTAAGAAGAAGAAATTATAGCAATGTAGTGTTATCCTTGGATAGGATAAGTTCACCACAGAACTTCCTTTTCAGAGAACAACTTGCAGGAAAGATCTTCTGCTGAAGAAATTCTGGGAAATGCAAAACAAAACAAAAAAATCTCAGAATTAACTGGGGTTTATGATATTAAGAGCTTAAGTATTTTATATGAATTATCTTTCAGAATATCATTTATTTTGCTCTAATCTAGGTTAAGTAGCAATGAAATGAGGGGGCATATGCCTTAGGACGGTTGTAAGGAGTACCCCACCTTTAGTTTTAATTTACCTAAAGCAATTTCCCATGACATTTAGGGGTTGGGAGGGCAGAGTGTTTTTCAGACTTTCATCTTCCTTTTTTTGAACTTAGATTCCTTGATGAGGAATTGAAACTGAACCCTTATGACCTCATAGTACTCAAGCTTAGGTCTTGTTCACTAAATTTGTGGATGTCTTTACCAAAATTACTTAGAGCTGATTATTTTATACGTATGAAGTCACAAGATTCAGAAGTAACCTATGTCTTTGCTAAAATGATAAACCTTTACCAGTGCTGCAACAATAATTCCTTTAGTTGATCCAACTGACTCCTTTCTCCAAATGATAATTTGAATTTGTAGCTTTATACTTACTTTACAAAATAAATAAATTGGTAGCCATTGCAATATAATCTCTCTCATTTGTAGATTTTACCCTGCCTTTTCATTTTACTGTTTTATATGGGTAATAAGTTTTCTAATTCATGTGTACAAGGTACTGTGGTCAGCATATAACAATCTTATGAGTAGGTTTTGTTAGCCATGTATTAAAAATAATGAAACCTAAGCTATGAAAAGTTAAAAAAACTGATCAGAACTTACTATGTGCCAGGCTATTGGTGGTTAAACTTACTTAACTATTTTCAACAATTCTATGTGACAGGTGTTATTACTGTGGTCACTTACAAAAAAGTAATTAAAATACAGAGATTAAGTTACTTGTCTACTTTCACACAGCTAATAAGCACCAGAGTGAAAATTTGCACTTCAGCCATGTAATTCCAAAGGCCACACACTTAATTACCCTCCTATGCTGCATCTTTCTTCTTTTTAGCCCTAACCAACAATTCCCCAATCCTAAAGCCACCAGCTCATTATTTACTTGCAAAATAAAATGATAAAACTCAAAATGTTTAAGCAGTTACTTGATCCCTGTTTCTTATAACTCTCTCAGCCAGCATCCATGTGTAGTTTCCATACAATAATAACTAATCAGAGATAAATTATCAAAAATTGTATTATTGAACATTTACACTATTGCTGTAATGGGGGGAAACTGTGCAGAAGACAGTAAGTTGGGATATGATGAAATATTAGAACTTTTATTTTACAGTAAGATAATTTTATCCTTTCAACATTTGTATTTTATTGGTTTTATAATCCTCATAATGTGTCAGAATAGCATGCACTTATATTATTTACAAGTGAATATACATACATTTAAAACATGCTCATAATTATTACTATTTTATTGGTGGGTTATATAATCAGAAATATTTTGATGTAGTTGAACTACTCTATAAGGTATGATATTTTGATAATAACCTTTCACTGTGATTAGAGAAAATAAAAGAAAAAATAGCACATTACAGCATTTATTTAATATTCATTGAGAGTCTACAGTGTGTCAGGCACTATTCTAAGCACACGGGATATATCAGTGTACAAAACAAAGTCCTTGGAGAACTTTAATTTAGGCTGGATAGACAATGCACACTGCACAAAATACATAAATGGATTAGAGAGTATGTGATGAATGTCACAGGAAAAAAACAGGAGAGCAAAGCAAAGAAGTACTGGGGCAAGTTCTAGTAGTAAATATTAAATAATTGTTCATTATGTGACACATGAGAATTATGTCACAAACAAAATATCTAGAAGTGAAAGATTTGAAGCAGCAGAGATTCTGGCTCTATTATTGGTTTCGAAGAAGTAAGCCTCCATGAATTCTACAGCTTCCAGGAAACCAGTGCTAACAACCCAAGAGAGCTTGGAAGCAGAAGGTTCCCTAGTCAAGCCTTGATAAGAAAATCCAGCCTGGCCAACACCTTGATTGTGGCCCTGTGAGACCCTTGGGAGCAGGACCCAGCTAATCTGTATTCAGACTCCCGACTCACAAAATTTAAGCTATAAATGTGTTATTTAATTAGACCTCAAAGTTTGTTGTAACTGTTACGTAGCAATTAAAAATTATAATACAAAGTTATCAGATGAGAGAAGAGTCTGGCTGGACCAAGGGGAGTTTTGTGCAAATTAGAAAAGGGCATTTTCTACAGGGGAGATGCTGCAGTCTTATGGTCTTGCAGAGAGAACAATGTCTTTCTGCCAAATAGAAAAGGCAACAGACACAGCTCTGTTCCAGGGAGCATGACTTAATAATGACACAGCTTCTCTTCATTTCCTCTGCTGGCCCCCTATGCACAACCATGAGCAATGACCTAGAGTAAGATTTCAGCAGAAGGAGCAAGACGAGGCAAAGGGAAGCAGATTGAAACAGTATTTCAGGAATATGGCTGCAATGGCAACACAAGATACCCAATGGCAGAGCAATGAAATGCAGGCAGGGTGCAATAGAAGAGTGAGGGTGGAATCACAAACTAACACAGCACAGATATATCATTTAAGAATGGCTACTGTGTGCTGTCGCAATCTGCCACTTTCCTGGGCACCTGACATTCTCCAGGCTTAATGAAAACACTCTGAGTTTTTATGAACACGTGCTCTGTTCAGGAGGTGGAAAGGACCAGCCCCAAACCCCTGCCTGTCCTGCCATGTCTTATGCTGCCTTTACTTTTTGGAGCCTCAGTTTCCTCTCCTGGTAAACAAAGGCAAAAGCATAATAATCATTAGACTGTACAGGGTTCCATGAAATAATAAATGCAAGGTGATTAAGGCACCTCTCTGGCATATGATAAAGGTTCATTTGACACACTAACTGCCACGTGTGTTGTATTGAACTCACGCTAGTTTTGAGCCTGGGGCCTTGTGAAGTGTATGCAACTCATACATCTCTTCATTTGGGGAGCTGTGAGAACTATTCTTCAAGTTGCATATAACTCACGCACAGAAAACAAAACAAAACAAACAAATTTTTCATTAAATTGGAAAGGATCATTTTGTTTTTGAAGTTTTTATTCTATTTTTGTAATAAAACACCATGGCCCTAAGGAAAAAATTTTTGTTTTAGTGTGGCAGTTCATGTGTTAATAGTGGCTATTATTTTCCAAGTTGATATGGCTATTAGGTGGCAGAAGGAAGACTCAAAATTTGTGTTCTTCAGAGATGCTGGAGATAGGAAAGTTGCGAAGACATTTATAGGAATAAAGAACTGAGACAAATGCCATGGAAATGGAAGAAATAAGGTGACACAGAACCAAGCAACTACAGAAGTATGAAGAACTGAGAAAAAAGATTAATCAAAGACAAATCTAGGATTTTAATGCTGATTGCTAAAGAAAATTATAGTGTCATTGCCAAAGATGGGAACACTGGGAGAGGAATGACCTGGGTGGTAAAATGACCATGGTTACGAGAAATGTAATAAGATTAGAGTGGAGGAAAAAAAGGTAGATACGGAACAACTGAGGGTATATGTATTTACATATATATATTCCTATTTTTTTGAAATTATTATTATAGAAATTATATATATCCCTATATCATTTAAAAACACAGTTGTTTGTGCTAAGTCCCCTTATAGAATTGCCTACCTATAGCTAATTGCATATTTTTGAGCCTAGAGGTCTGCCATAAATATTATATATTTAGTATTCTATATTATATATTTAGTACTATATATACTATATATTTAGTACTATATATATATATACACACACACTATATATTTAGTGTAGATCATTAAGCTCAAATATGTACAACTAGCTTTAGGGAGGCATATTCTATAATAAAAGAGGATTTAGCACAAACAATTGTGTTTTCAAATAACAGAAAGCTAACAAATAAGTCCGTGGGGAATTGGCACTAGCAACAGCTTCATAACATTCTCGGCATTTTTAGGTAAGAAAAAATCATATTATTAGATGGTAGACAGTTTTCTCTGAAGTCCTATGGATCCTGTTTTATTACCAGTTAATACTGTCAAGTTACTTTGTTTTTACTGGCAGTATACATAATTCATTCCGAATGGAGTAGGAGGCACCCTGGTTTTCAAATGAACTGCCTGTTTGGTTTTACAACATTTAATGCAAGCCAAGTTACTTTGAGAAAGAATTCACAACTAATTATTTTATTCATGTAATGATGAATAAAAGGAAACAATGAATACATGTGAATCCAAGCATTGCTGATTAAGTTATGATGGCTGTATTTATATATTTTTAATAAAAACTTTGTTAAAAATAATTTATTAAACTTGCAAATGTATTTCATATGTGAACCCTAATTTTATTTCTATAGTTATCCACTTTTTTTAGCCTGGTTTTGGCACATACTTGGCAAAAATATATACCCAATTGAAGCCATCAAAGCGGAAAAAACACTGTAGGATTTTGGGAAGAACTGTCTCCTGTTCTTTTTATTTTTTTCTTTCTCTTTTCATGAAAAGAACTGCATGTTCATAGTACTGCAACAAAAATGCATTTGCTCAAATAAGTGAATAGGAAAAACAGAACAAATGCCTAAAATTGGCAATGTTGACATTACCTTCTGAAAGCTGGAGAGAAATTTTTATCAAAAAAAAAGTTTTGAACTATTTTTTTTCATTTCCCTTCCTCTCTACCTTTCTTTCTAAATACGTTCATCAATAATCAAAGAAAAATTGAATGAGGACATCTTTCAAAATAATTTCTGTGGCTAAAAAAATATAACAGTGATCTTTGCATTTCTTGAATGTTTGGTTGCATATCAACCAGGATTATTTGCATGCTCGCAATGTCATTTGTAATCTAACAAAGTTTTCTAATTTAACATTAATTTTTATACTAACTACAAATATGCAAGAGAAGGGTTAATCAAAACATTCTGGAAAACAACTTCCATCCATTAAATCTTTAAAGACATTTGGAACAAGCAGTTTGTCATACTCCTGGCAAGCTTACTAATGATTGGCTTCATGTACATTAGGCTGTTATGAAGCTAATGGCACACTAAAAATCTTCTCTTCATGTATAAATTAATTACATTCATATGCAAGTCACATCACTGTGACTTGCTTTGCATTTTAATATTTTAGAAGTTACATGGAGTCGGTGCACCTTTTCCTTTAAAGCATTCACAGCTTCAATTATCCATTCTATAGCCTGAAAGCTGCAGAAGGCTGGAACTCCAGCAGCCAATTGGCGCCAACATGGAGAAAGTTGGCAAATAGCTAAAAGTTTAGTTAAATTTTATATATATACGCACACACATGTATTTTTTAGAGACAGGGTCTCACTTAATCAGGCTGCAGTGCAGTGGCATGATAACAGCTCACTGCAGCCTCTAACTCCTGGGCTCAAAGTGATTCTCCTGCCTCAACCTCCCAAAGTGCTGGGATTATAGGTGTGAACCACCATGCCCGGCCAAATTATAGATTTTATAGTTGCTTGAAAGTTTTAAATAAGGTTACTTTTTTTCAGAATTTCCTGTTTAAAAACGTAGAAAGACTGAGCCCTTTGTTGTCTACGAGTATGCTTTCCAAGGGAGACATCTGGTCTTCCCACAGTGCTGATGTTTTTGATTGAGTTCTGAAGTTGGAAACATGGGATTTTAGACTCTATTTTCAATGTGTTTTCTCTTCCCAATATAAATCGATGTGGAGAATCACTTTACAAGGTGTCATCAAAATTTGCTTTAAGAAATATTTATAAAAAGTTTTAGAACTGGAGTCTAAAGACCTGAATTTTCTGGATTTTCTGAGTAATGAGCTTGTAATGGTCAAAAATAAAATTAAATAAAATAAAACTGGCCTAGACCATCTCTATAAAACAACCAACACATTTGCCTCTGAATTGACTTTTCTGTTATTAATAAAATAGTAAAATATTAATTTAAGAAATTAGGAGAAAAGTTATAGACTCTTCTTTCCTTTGAGTTTTCACACATCTAATTAGTTCCCCATTCATTTTATAATTAGAAGCAAAATGTTGTAACTCTCTCTTGGGGAAAGTTTCTATTGCTAGGGATCAAATTATTAGCAATCTAACTTTAAAGCATATTGTGCCTTTTGTCAAAATTTGGTGTCAAAGTTTTAGATATGTTCACTTGATGATAAGATAACAAAGTATTCTACGTTGATGAGCATTTGTGTAGATATATTGACCTGGATGGAAGGACTCACTTATCTAGTCATTAGTGTTTTCCAAGCAAAGTAGAAAGAGCGTGGACTCAGCCACAAAATACAAACTAAGTGTACTCTGCCTATCAATACTTGAAGCCAGCCAGAAGGGAAGGATTCTATTTATTTTTTCTACTCCTGACAGCTTACAACTTAATTTTGGCATGTTTACTTTCATAAAGGAAGGGGTTCAGCCAGGCGCGGTGGCTCACCCCTGTAATCCTAGCACTCTGGGAGGCCAAGGCAGGAGGATTGCTCAAGGTCAGGAGTTCGAAACCAGCCTGAGCAAGAGCAAGACCCTGTCTCTCTAAAAAAAATATAAAGAAATTAAATGGCCAACTAAAAATATATAGAGAAAAATTAGCCGGGCATGGTAGTGCATGCCTGTAGTCCCAGCTATTTGGGAGGCTGAGGTAGGAGGATCACTAGAGCCCAGGAGTTTGAGGTTGCTGTGAGCTAGGCTGATGCCATGGGCACTCTAGTCTGGACAACAGAGTGAGACTCTGTCTCAAAAAAAAAAAAAAAAAAAAAGGAAGGGGTCCTAGCAACAGATAGATGATTAAAATAAAATTGTCTTTCATTAACTTCTACCTTTTCTTTTCATAATCCACCCTGAAATCTAATTTTGGCACCTTGTTTTTCAATCAGCTGATGGAAGGACTATTGTGAGTTGGAATAATGCAATAGCATTGTTATCAAACACACAAGGATGTGATTCCCACCTTTCTGCAAATGTAAATTTTTTAACTTCACTAAGTCTTATTTCCACTTAAAAGCTACAAATTCTGGATAATGATCCCTACATCATTGGATCATTAGAAGAATTAAATTAAGATTTATTTTTGTACAATTCAGCATCACCTAAACCCTAATAAGATCACCTATATAATTCGCCCACAATTTAGTAGATTATTTTCCTTTATGGGCCAGTTAGAAGAACTGTGCCTCTCTCCCACTTCTAAGTCTGCACAGGAATTTTTAAAGGGCAACAAGGAGAGGGATTCATTCATAGCTAGGGCTTTAATGCCACTAGTAATGATCCTTGGTAGGCTACCCAAGACGTAGACTTGACCTCAGACTTGAGGTCCTGTTTCACTACTGTGCAAAGATCTTCTGTCTTCTACAGCTGGACTTCCTGTGCCCCCCTACAAACTTCTACAGAAATGAAGCGCTCTTCGTGGGCAGAGCACTCTCAGGGGTGAAAATCGTGAATAGTTGGAGAGTAGGGACCTCGTGACACAACCAGTCAGCTTTGCCTCACAGCCCTGACCTCTCTTTCCCATTGGATAGAACAGACTACAGGAGAATAGATTCAAATGTAGTCTCACAATGGATCCTTTCCTGACTTCGCTGGACACATGAGTCCAGCTGCAGAGTCTAGCCCACTCTGCCAGAAGTCGTATTTAGACCTGGTGACCTTTCTTTTGCTTCCTTTCAGGGGGCCTGTTGTCTCTCCTTGCCACCTGGCTTCCATTTCCCCTACCTCAAAACTCCAATCATTAAAAGCTTTGTATTTCTTTCAGTGAACTCCTATTACAAAGAAGAATCAGAAATTGTGACTGGCTACCTATTTCTGACCAAGTGTATGACTTGATCGCTGTATAGATTCTTTCCCCCCTGGAGTGTTCCCAAGAGGTGGTGGGGAGGAGCAGGATATAGGGAATGTCCACATCCTGGTCTACTTGAATCTCACATGTTATATGTAAAGATCTTGGTATTTCATATATTTTGTTTTTGTTGTCCTCCATGCACTAACAAGTCGAACTCCGCATTCTAAATCTGTAACTTCTGTCTTGCTCTTCATCACAGTTTAGCAATCCCACCACCTAGGACCCTGTTAGGCTGCTGAAAATCAGGAAAAGAATGCACTTAAGGATTAAGAGATGTTCCACCGAAGAGTATTCTCATTTTAAAGAGCATTCATAGGCCAGGTGCTATGGCTCATGCCTGTAATCTTAGCATTCTGGGAAGCCAAGATGGGAAGATGGCTCAAGGTCAGGAGTTCGAGATCAGCCTGAACACGAGTGAGACGCTGCCTCTACTAAAAAGTAGAAATAAATTGGCTGGACAACTAAAAAATATATACAAAAAAGTTAGTCGGGCATGGTAGCACATGCCTGTAGTCCCAGCTACTTGGGAGGCTGAGGCAGGAGGATTGCTTAAACCCAGGAGTTTGAGGTTGCTGTGAGCTAGGCTAACGCCATGGTACTCTAGCCTGGGCAACAGAGTGAGACTGTGTCTCAAAAAAAAATTTTTTTTTTAAATTAAGAAAGCATTCATTGACACTAACTACTTGAACTCCAAAGAATGCTCATTTAAAATGAGAAATTTCAGAAATTGGTGCAGGCAATGTGTTTTTGCTTGTTTGAAAAGGGCCTTTCCTCAGCAACTCTCCTATCAGGACACACAACAAACTGCCTCCTCCACTTGCAAATAAAGCTTCTGAATGAGAAGGTATCTTAATGGCAGAAACATGGGGGGGAAAAGGCAAATTAAATGATAAAGTCAAACTGGAGAGTAATCTTTGGGCCAAAATTAAGATCTCCTTTTGTCTGATTCATTGACATTTGTTTCCAGATATAAGCACAAAGAAGTTCTTACCCCCTTTCCTCATGCTAAAGTTTACTTGATAATGTGAGCTGGCTCTTGCCCATCTCTGGAGCATCATCTTGCACTGCTTCTTCACATGCATCCCACTCTCCTGACATACTCACCTACACGCAGGCTCACAGTTTCTCTGCAAGGTGCCAAGCCTCCAGATTTTTGCATGTGTTCTATAGGATCCTCTCACTCATTTCTGTCGTTCCTGTAAAACTTCACATCTAAAAAGAGTGTCCATAATGAAATCTGGAAGCATATGCAAATATAACTAATGTTGTCAAGGGCATCTTCAATCTGTAAAAACATTTAAAAATATAATCTATATTTTCAGACTTCATGGTTTTATGGTGCATATCTATACATATCTGTGCGCACATATGTGTATATATGCATGTGTATATATACGAACACATATGAATACATACACATGCATATACTCTTTGTCTACATGTTTACTTCTATTTACAAATATTAGTATATTTAAATGCATTATAGTTTATATGTAATTGGATATATAGTTATACAACTGGATTGGTATATACATGCATATATGTATATATAGATGTATGTATATTATATACAAGCCTATATAGATATATATACATGTACACATGTATGCTTATAATGATGTGTATAGATAAACGTGAGTATAGATGTGTCTGTACATATATCTCTTCATATAAATATAGATGTAGATATAGACACAATCATATAGGCTGTAGAGCATTTCCAAAGCTCTTTCACCAGTCGTTCTCAACTGGGAGCAACTTTGCCTCCTAGTAGACATTTTGGCAATGCCCGAGGACATCTGTATTTGTCACAACTGAGGGTGAGGGGTTGCTACTGGCATCTACCGATTAGAGGCTAGAGATTCTGCTAAAACATACTACATTGCACAGGACAGCCCTCAACATGAACAAAAATGTCTGGTCCCAAATGTCCATCATTTTGAGGTTGAGAAACTCTGCCTACGTGTTTCTTTGCAAGCAATAACCACAATAGAATACTCTCCCAAGTCCTCTTACTACCCATAGTTAGATTAGTATGATGGTAGACATGTAGTTGTAGACTGTATTCTACCTACAGATGAAAATCACTTACATTAACTGACATAATTTTTCACAACCAGTAGTCAGCTCAACATTAGCTAGAAATGACAGTAGTTGATTATTTGTCATTAGGCACCAACTTCTTATGCAGAGCGAGAAGGCTACATGGTTTTCGTTGATCCACAACTAAAGAGACCACCTCAGGGATACACATTAATCATCAGGAGGGTGCAGTAGTGCTGCTCTCTGCTTCATGTATTGTGCTATCTTAATTATGACTCCTTTCTTTTGACAATGAGGTTAAAATTATTAAGTGAGTTCACCTGAGAACATATTCGTTCCTCCTTCTAGTGAGGCTTTAACAATTACTTGATTGAAGATCTGAGCTGCAGGTAGCTGTAATTTTGCAGACTCGTTATATTATTTCTGGCTTACTTAAGTGTTGACTCATTTTGTACTGTCTGAGAGCTGAAAAGAAATCTTTGGGGAAAGGCTAAAAATATCTTTGAGTTTTCCTTCTACTGCTTCAATTTTATGTCTCTGATGTATGCTTAAAATCATATTCTATGCACATAAGGAATCTCAAAAAATCTTTGAAAAAGAGGAAAGCTTCTTCCCTTGGTGCCCTCATACTTTGTGTCATTTGATAATATACATGAGTAGGCTTAATACTCAATCATTTCCCAAATCTAATTTGACTGTCGAATGGGGCTTAATTTACATGATGATACAATTTCTCACACCAGAAAGCATAGTAACCCTTTTTCTTCAGAGGTTAATGGTGATCTAGCTTAAAGCCTAAAAGATAATTATAAGAAATGTGCTTCAGGTGACAAAGTAGTTTTGACAATCCCAGACTATTGATAGCTTTTTAATTATACCTCTTTCTACCATAGGAGATGGTATGCTTGCTGCTAAATAGTTTAAAGACCTGCTGTTGTGTTCTTAAAATTAATTTCCATTGATACTTTAACCTAGTGATACTCCAGGCCCCTGAAACTTCACTGAGCATTCCACAACCTCTGAAATGAAATTAAATTCTGGGTTACTATTTTTCTTTGTCCATGAAATATAAGAGTATCAACCAAGAAATACATAAATATGTATTGACTTGTTTGTCTTCTTTATTCACTTGATATTTTGTGACATTTAAAAATTTTTAAATTTCAGTTATATTTGTCTTGTTTTTAGGTGAGAGTCTGACAGTGGAGAAGGTCATAATCCACAAAAAGGTGAATGGTTAGGATTTAGAGAATTGGTTAAAAAATAATGAAAAACTTAAAAAATCAAATGAAAATGCATTTTATGCATAATATAATTATGTCTTATATTTTCCCTTTGCAAATACTTGCATATTATGCTAAGATATATTTAACTCTAAAATAACAGGAAAGGGATGAAAGAATGCCCCAAATACTTATTATTGTCTTTAAGGCATAGTTAACCAAATTTTTAAAATCACTTCTTTTTTCAAATTAGATAAGCCTGATTATTTATTTTGACAAGAATTGAGTTTCCATTTTCATAAAGTCGATATTATTCACACAAAGTCAAATATCCATATGGAAACTGAAAATTTTAGTCACATATCCAGATGTTTGACTATATTAAATCAAATCAATTTTCACTTTGGATTTTCATTTTGTCAAGAAGATTATATTCTTCATCTCATAAAATATATTCTTAGCACCTGATTCTTCACTCAGGGCCAAATTACGATCTGATAGGTCAGATATGTATTCTTTTGGTTTTTACTAAGAAATTGAATTGCAATCTATTCCATGCACACTATGATAATGACATTCACACTATTTAGAGCTTAGGGAGAATTTAAAAAATTTACCTGTTTCAGCACTATCATTTAACAGAAAAGAAAACTGATGCCCCAAGACACCAAGTGGCTTGTCCCACAACCACACAGCAAATTAGTGACAAAATTTAGTAAAGTCTGGTTACCTGGTGGTTTTAGCATTTCAACACACTGCTCATATTACCAAGATTATTATTTATTTACTTCTACTGTGTGGTTCACGGGACTTAAAATCCACTGAGAAATTAAATGGCCAAAATAGAATTTTCAGGTTTTACAGGGACAGGTAAAAGCAGTAGCGTTTCTACAATACTAGATCCAATAGTTTTCGTGGAAGATTCAACATGGTTCTTAATCTGACAGGTCTTTAACTTCTCTAGGCTGTAAAATGGAGCTAAGTTTGGGGAGAAGTACATAATATGGTATCTGTAATGTGGTTAGCATGTTTGTAGAGAGGGAAGGATTAGAAAAGGCACAGAGGTTGCAAAACCTGACCAGACTGAAATGGAAGGAAACAGAGTGAATGTATGTATCTCTTTATTAGCCACCTTTTGTGTGCCAATCATTGTGCTTGTGCTGAGAATAAGAATACTAAGGATTTAGGTACCAAAATAACTTGTTTAGTTCATTTAACTTATTTGGGTAAAAATAGAGTTCATAATCATTATTACTTTTTTTTTTCCCTCAATAAGACTGGAATAATATTGGAAAGGGGGAAAGAGAGCTGGGATAGGTGTAATGTGGAGGGTCTTAAAAGTAGCAATGCTGATCCATTAACAATTTATAAGCAAAGAAAGGATTGAGAAGTAGATCGTCATAGGAGAATAATTATGAAGGATGGCATCTAATCTAGAACAGGATGTCACTTTACTGATGACAGGTGGGAAATAATTGAATTTTGTAAGAACCCAGCTTAGAATCAGGATAGAGTGAGAAATAAATAGATCAACAAGAACTATGCAGGCATTTAACATGGATGGAAGGATAAAATATTCACAGAATCTTTATTAGACCTGAGATATATTCATTTTACAGAAAAAAAATAAGTCACTTGCTCAATATAACCACATATAGCTAGTAAGTTAAGGAAAAGAAGAGAGAATTGTAAGAAATTTTGAAGACAGATAATAAATAAGACTTGGTGACTTGCTCACAGGAAGGAACCACCTCAGAAATTATTGTTTTTAATGTAAATGTGTTATTACAGTAATATTAATTGAAATTTTTTAAAAACACGAGTAGGAGGATCTGGATTGTATTGTGGGTAGCAAAGGGAGAGAAATGATGATGGAATATGTTTGCAGTTTTGATGGCTTTAGTCTGGAATTCTAATTAACATTCATTTAGTATCATGTTTTTAAAAATGAACTGCTGAATCATGAATCGTGAGAGGAGAGATCATGATTAAAAATATATGTTGTAGAGTCAATTTCACAAGAATAATAGTGAAAACTTTAAGAATGAATACCACACTGAGGCAAGAAGTATGTCAAACTAGAAACTGTTGTCAGAAACTGTAAATGCCCAATTTTATGTGAAAAGAAAGAAGAGGACACAAAAAAAGGAGCTGTCACAAAGTAGTAAAAACAGGTTAGAGCAGTGTCACAAAAATCCGTGAAAGAAGTGGGTGGTTGGCTGTCAAAAATTGAAAGCGCGTACAGTGCAATGATAACCGTCAGAGTCACTGGACTTGGCTACTCTCTGGTCATGGTTACCACTGTAAGTGCAGCAGACAGGGAAGGGCAGAAAGTAGAAATTGCAGAGAAGACAGGTGGTGAGGAAGGAGCAAGAAGTAGACCAGGCAGTGACCAAACCTATCTCAGATCCTTCATTAATCTGAGGAAGACATTTCTATGGACCCATGGGGAAATCTGGAAATACAAAGCTGAAGGTAATTAAAACAAATAGAAACAAAAAGGCAAAAGATACTTATGAATGTTTATTTCCTTCTCTGGGAGATTTAAATCCTTTCTAAATAAAATTATAGTAATGGGAGTAATAGGGAATTACGTTTAATTTTTTTTCTTGTGGTAAAACAAAAAATTTGTGACCATAAATTGACCCTAAATTTTCTTTTATAAATATTACTGGTCAACAGAATTCCAAAGTTTATGTGGACTCAAGAAAAATATTACCTTCAAGAAAGAATTAGTGTGGGTGTGAATGGAAAGCAAGAAGACAATATCTAGATGAGATGGCTTTGTTATATACTAAAGGATTATGAAATGAAAAGAAAAAGTAGAGAAAAATTATTGAATATTCAGAATAGGAGAACTAGTTCATAGATACTTAAAGAGGTAAAAAGGAGAGCTATAAAAACAAAAAATAGAAATATCAGCCTTAGAAAGATTGACACTTAATCCTCTGAGGCAGGAAATTGATGAAATTGATGCCATAATTTTGTATATGTCCTTGTCCTTCTACAAAGTATTTTCCCTTTACTTAGTATTCTAGAAGATATTTGGAACAGGAATGTCTTAAAGTGTAAAATAAACCTTTTGTTATGAATATGTTTATGTAATAAATATATAATTATAATTATAATTAAAGGTATGTTAAATAATAAACAACTCTCTCTCAGTAATATATGTTGCATTCTAGGTTTATCTGAAAATGTGCTACATCCTAGCTATGTTTGTTATCGGTCAATCTTTCAAGCTCCCACATTTTGCAGCAGCCTGGCACACGGTAGGTGTTCAGTAAATATTGTGTTGAATTATAGAAAAATATTTGTAAATTGATGGTTGTAAAGCAACAATTTTTCCATTTGTCCTCATCTATTTACTTACATGTTCTTTGCCTATTCTAGTATTTTCGTAATTATCCTATTTTACCTTCAAAGCATGAACACATGATAGCAGGATCATGCATTTCAATGGTTTATCATTTGTAGTATGCATAAGTATGTGCTATACGTAAGATTTTCTCTGTGTTGGTGTGAAAAAGTTAATGTCCTTTATGTGGCCAGAATGAGTTATCAACTAGTATTTACGTGTTTTACAACAAATTGTTTGTCACTTTCTCTGATTAAATGTGCCTATAATAACATTATTGTCATCATTCTTCTTAAGTTGCAGTTGATATTTAAATCATGCTGTCTCCTTTTCCTGGAATGGCCATGCCATTTTCTAAATAAATATCTCCCTTCAGGTAGAAATGAATAACCAAAAGTCAACCATATTAGGAAACAGACACTCCAACTCTAAACTTTATAACATATGATAGAAGTGTGAATTGCAGTCAATCTATTTGTAATAACTCCCTTTATAGAATATAAAGTTATTCAAAACAGTAAAAAATAATTGATTGTAGTAAGATTTTTCTGTGGTTCTTCGCATTTACAAATTTTACTTTTCTTATATTATTTATTTTTAGATTGCTTCTCCAAGAATAAAATCCAAGCCTCATTTATCATAGCTTTCTGTTTTGGGCTAATTTTCATCTAATTTTAGTTTGGAAAAAATGCACCATCCTGATACAAAATACTTTTCTAAAGTGGGGAAATCTGCATGAATTACACTCTTGTCCTTCTCAAAAATATGCCCTTGTCCATATAAAGTCAATTATAGAATGGAATAATTGCTGACTTAGTATTTATATCTAATGAAATTCCAATCCTGACTCAATCTTTTTCCTTGGAATCCAGATTTGGAGATTTCACTATCAAGATAAATGCCTAAATTCTCCCCTTCACACTGCTTTCTGGATAGATATGTCTTATACGTGTATATTAATTGTCTGTAAAATCTGGAATTTAATTAAAAGGCACAGTAAAATTCAAATTAAGTTATAGTTTTAGATTACGTATTCCTGGGAATGTTATAGCCCTCATACTGCTAGCTTTTCACTGTTTCATAGAAAAGCTTTATTAAAAAGACTTTAAAGTGAGATTAATTTAAGTTTAAATTGTCACTTACAGAACTCTTTCAGCTAGCCTGAAGCAAAATTACATCTAATTCAAAATTAGAATAAAAGATTTTAGCCCTTTCAAATCTTTTAACTGGTGCTAACCCTGCTTTCCTTTTTAATTTTCACAATCCACAGAGAAATTAACCATATTGTGTAGACCATCAGTCTAAATTATTGAGGAGGAATGCAAGTGTATGCTGTGTGGGGGGATATGTTCATTCAACAGTTTAGTGGGGAAATGAATATGGCAAGTTTGCTAATTATGATATAAGATGACCTTGGGGTATTCTTTGACTCTCCTCTTTCTTTCACACCATACATCCAATCCCAGAAAATTGTACGGACCTTATCTTTAATTTTTGTTTAAAAAATGACCACTTCTTATCACCTCCAATGCTATTACTCAGTCCAAGTCACTATTGTCATTGCCTGCTTCTTATAGTAGACTTTTACTAATTCTCACTTTTACCCTTGCCCACTAGAGCCTATTCTCAATCCAGCATCCAGAATGATGGTGGTGCTTTAGAAACCTAATTCAGATTTTGGTGCCCCTCTGCTCAAAACTCTCCAATGGCTTCCAACCTACTAGAGTCAAAACAGGGTCCTTACATTTGCCAACAAAGCGTTATGACATCTGACCCAGGGTGAGTCTATGACTTAAATCAACTCCTCTCATGTATAAGTCTGCCCCAGCCAAACTCCCACCTTAGGACATCTTCCCTGGCCACGCCATCTGGAATGTGCTTCTTTAAATCTTAAGCAAGCACTTCAAAGTCTTGCTCAATTGTCACCTTTTCAGTGAGGCATTCCTCAACCACTGGATTTAAAATTGCAATTTCCCCCACTCTCAAAATTTTCCCCACTTGCTTTCCCCCTTCTATATTTTTTCTATTGCCATTATCTCTTTCTAAAATATGATATAATTTCTTATTTATTATATTTATTGTCTCACCATATTAGAATGTAATCTCCAAGAGAGAAAATATTTATTTTGTTTTGTTCACTGATATAGACCCATCTAACATGCAAAAGTGCTTGGAATACCATCGGGGAATAAGATAGGTACAATCAAAGTGCTATGGTGGTTCACGGGACAGGACTGGTCATAAACAGTTCAGGAAATGTGTCAGAAATTAGGGAACATTTCACAGGAACCCAAAAGGATGATGGGAAAGCACAGAGATGGGCGAGACCCAAAACATGCTCAGAAGGGTCTAGTTCCCCCTACCCTGGAAGACACACAGGAGAGTTTAGAGGATGACATATTCACAGTATTTGATGTAGGGCTTTATACACCAATGATGTATATAATCCATGTTTACTTTTGGTTTTATCTTTCTTCCCTTGTGATAACCTAAAAGATAGCATATTAATATGTACAGGTTACTAAGCCATTAAGACTGTTGAGAATAAAACAGTGACTACAAGAGGAATTTCTCTCTGATTCTACTACCTCCTGAATCATTCACTGCATGTTTTCTGCTTTCTGTCCATTTACAGGCTCAACTTTTATTCAGTGCTCCTGACCACAGAGAATGCTCAGCTAATTAGAACTTATTTTCAGCCTGTACATGAAATAGAGTAACTAAAAAATATTAAATAAATAAAAAAATAAGCCTTCCCAGTGTGCGAATTCTTGGTTCATGGTGTACGTTTAATTAGAATTGGATTAGAATCAAGATCAAGCCTGGTCATACATCTTCTAATTAATTTCAGGACTTAGCATTTGAACTCTTCTGCAAGTTCAGGTCAATTTTACTTTCTTGGTCTCTTGATTCTTGCTAGAGAAGCAAAGCAGCTAGTAATTGTTCGTTTTGGACACTAATTGCAAAGTTGTAAAATCGACTTCTGAGAGTGACAGTAACTACATCTGGCATCACAAAATAGAACTTTCTCACTTAATCCCCATAGAAAGTGATTGGATATTAATATTATAATAAACACTAGCCTCATATTAAGTAAAACAAACAAGCTTTTAACAATGCAGAAAACACATGTTTTCCTTTACAAGCCTCTAATACTTGGCATTTCCACATGCACCTTGAATTCCAGTGATAACATGATTCATAATCATGATCATTATAAACGAATCATGCAATATTATTAATTGCTACCAAATCTCTCAAGTTGATTTACTTTATGTAAATTAAGTCTTAAATTGGTTTTCAGGTTTTTGGGGGTTATTTTTGTGTGTATGTCACACTGGAAGAAGAAAAAGTCCCATAATAGTGTTTCTTTACTTTATAAGCCATTAGGCTGAAATTCACAGACCAAATGACTTAATTTATTAGCAGAAAAGTACTAAAAGACACCTGTTTTTTCACCCTTGTTTTAGCATTTTAAATAATGATGCCAATAAACTATATTTGTTCTTTTGTAAATATCACAATAGCAAAATTGTCTCCATAAGAAAAACACATACAAGTTTAACCTCCTGCACCAAGGAGAGCTTTTATGTATTTTAGTTTGATACTTATGGTTTGGTATTAATCCTAATTGAAGTATAACTTCCCATAAAGAACTTCTGGTGATATAATTTACTAATAAAAAATTAGCAGCCCTATGGAATGTTGCAATGATATTTAGCAGGAAAAGTAGAATACAATAAAAAAATTAACAGGGCTTCATAAATTTCACTTTGTGGAAAATAGAACAAAAAATATACTATCTAGTTTTGCATAAGGATGAAGAATATATTTAAATACTCTCAATCAGGTGACCTTTTGTTTCACTGCACGATATTTGTCCTTGTTAAGCTCTGGTGCCAAAAGATTATTGCATTTTAAAGCTATTTCAAGGCTAAAAATATTCAGAATTTCTACTTCATAAAAATGGAAATTTGCATAAAGTGATTTACACTCTTAGAACACAACGAGCATGAAGCTAGATTCTTCTTATTACATTATGACTTGTGAATGTCAGATCAGAAGTGTATATTTTGATTAGTACTTTTATAAGAATATAATGAAAGTTCACTAGCTCGTTCATACTTTTAAGAATATCTGGCCAATCTTAGACCAATTAAATCATCTTGCTTTGTTCTTCCAACATAAGAAAGCAAAAATAATGGAAAAATAGTCTCTAAAATGAGCTCTTTAAAAAATAATATTAAAAAATCAACAGTGAAATGCTATTTAATTAAGAATGGATGGCACAATTTCTAATGTGTTTATAGTGGAAGAGTTAATTATATAAATTTGAAACATTCTCCTTTTATTATTTTTTACTTTGTTTTAAAAGGAAAGTAGTATGTATAAGAGGTACATATTTTTTTTGTTCATGGCACACCCTGAAAAGGACTTAAACTACAGACCTAAACTAATGTAAGGGCATGACATTCTATGCACACTCCTTACTTGGACATTCAATTACTATAGCCTATAGCTAATCCTATAGGATGTTTGGTATTAAATTGTTAAAACTGCTTAATCAAATATCACTAATTTTATTATGCTATTAATGGGTCTAAAAGACCCTGGCTGAAGCTCTGTGAGGCCAGGCAACTGCAAAGGCACAAAGGCCAGCACACATCCTATTTGAAGGATCACCTCTGAATCAAGTGTGAACTTACTATTGTTCCACACCTTTCTGTCAATAACCTCATCCTGACCCCAGTGCCAACCGCAAAGGAGAATTTTCTATAGCTTCCGATTTGTGTGTTTACGCTAGCCCACATCTTATTATATCTAATAAATTGATGCAATGAATCTATTATTACCTTCTCCCCAACCCCATGTCAAAGTCCAACCTCAGTTTATAACTAATTCTTCATTTCCTTCCATTCAGGTTAATTCTTCATTTCAGTTCTTTGTAGTGAGTATAAGTCAGCTCTGTGATGTGAATTTGGATGGTTCAAGTTCACATACTCTTGCTTTTTAATAAGGTGATTTCTACTTTATGTCAGGGATGAAAACCCCAGTGAGTCATATGGTTACCAAGAGTACACATGAAGTAAAACATCGTAGACCTATTCTTTGGTCTATTCTTCCAGGTCAGTAGTTATACATCTCAAGATAAAATAAACTAACTCGTGCTAGGGGGATGAATGATTGGGAATAAATGGAAGATATTACTTCCAGAATCCTTCTCATTTTAATATGACTCTCAGCTACAAAATGGCTTGAGCCTATGAACAGATCTCTAAAAGTGAAATTCCAGGCACAATGGGAAAGTGAGGAAAAGGTAGGTTTTTTTTTAATTTGAGGCTATGATGGAAAATGGTTTTCATTTTTATACTATTGCTTCTCTCTAACATGACTTTCATATAACATGTATTTTGCAATACATCCTCAATCTTTTAACAAAGCAGAATATGCCCACACATAATTATTTGAATATTAATTCCATTTTGGTCCATGCCATCAGGCAGATGTGCAATAAAAAGGAAAAATTGTGCATGAATGTTTTTAGCCTCACATTGAAGTTGTGAATGGAAAGGGTTTGTCTACCAGGCTAGCCAGCTGTATGAAGAGCTTGAGTCACATCTCAGTGTGCTAGAAAGTAATTAATTATAAGCATCAGATTATCATTTGGTGCAACCATTGAAATATCTGGACATCTGGTCCAATAGTCCTCTTTATTCTGGTGGGAATCCCAACTCCTTTTCCAGTCAAGCTTCACATTTTAGTTATTTCAACAATTTAGGGCATTGGTTCTTAACTTTGACCTGCAGCAGAATCACCTGGAATACTGGCTAAAACACAGGTTTCTGGGCCTTGCCTCAGAGTTTCTGATTCAGTAGGTCTAGGGTGAGTTGCCTCAAAAATGATGGGTTCCTGTCCTTTCCCAGGTGATGTTCATGCTGCTGGTCCAGGCATTACACTTTAAAAATAAGCATAAGACATAAAACTTAAGACCCAGTTTCTCTAACTTTCTTCACTTTCCTGGTGGTCTATCATGTCAAAAGTCAGCAGAACTCTTCTTGTTCGTCTTGTATTTGGTTTTTGTTCTTGTTCTACAGAATTTTACACCCCCCACACACACACATAAAAACAACTAACACCTGTTTGACTTAACCCTTTAAAATCTCAGGTTAATTGAGTTCTCTAGGTTTCTACTGCTACTCTATAATCCAATTTTCCTTTTCTATATGATTACCTATAATTCTGAGGTTCCTTTATGAAGTCTACACCTGCTTCCTGAATACACATTTGGACGTTTCCTTCTTCCATTTGGTTATTCAACAACTATTTATTGAGTACCTACAAAATAGACATAAAGAGAATATAAATAAATAGTGTTGCTGTCATAAAGAAGCATACATTCTATTTGGAAGCAGAAACAAAAAAGTAATAAAAGCTAAGTATAGTTAAGTAGTGATATGTGTGGGGAAGAAAACCAAAGCAGAGGAAATCAATGTTTCTTGATATACTTATAATTATACGCCTTCTTTTTTTCCTAAATGAAATGTTCTTATTTGCATTACTGGGTACCATTATTATCCTGTCAGCCATCTTTAACTGTCATTCCTCCCTCACAACCTTCCTCCCATCTCAAACACTACCCCTACTCAATCAGTCAGCAGGTAATTTCTACTTCCACAGAATCACTTCTATCTATAGTTTTATTACAACCATTTTAGGTCAGGTTTTTGCAGGTTTTTTTTTAACCTTTTACCAGGAACAGTCTAATACCTAAACTTCATAACACAACTTCCAAGACACACTTCCTGAAAACAATGCTTTAGTGTCATGGTGCTACTCTGTTAGCATAACAAGCCCATGAGGCAAGTATTTTTATTATTCTCATTTAGAAATAAGGAAATGAAAGCATTTTTACTAAATCAGAGAAATCTGAATCCAAGTAGTCTAAATCTAGAACCTGAGCTTTTAATAATAGTATGATAGTGTGTTAATAACTGATTAAGAGAAGGCAATGCAGAGTGCTATGACAGCAAAGAGGAACAGGACATTAACTCTGCCTAGAGGACCTGAGAAAGCTTTATCCGAGAGGGGTCATCTGGGGGGAAAGGTCTTGTGTTATCTGGTAGTTTGAGTGTGCCTTACATCAAAAATTCCATAAAGAAGACAACTCCCTTCCTATGCATATATTTTAATCCTCCCAGAACATGACTTTCACACAATGTGATGATAATTTATTGAAGAGTTGATTGGTTAATTGACTTTCATGAATATCTAAATAGGAGAAACTTTACATACTATGATGAAAAATGTGCTTCGTGTGTTTTAAGAGAGGCTAAAGCAGATTTAGAATGAGAATGATAACAAGGATAAATAGATTTAACCTACTACCCAGCATCTTCCATAAATTTAAACTCTCCAATGTCTACATGCCCACAGAGAGTGAACAGTATAAGCCCAGCTCTTACGACAGTAGAGACAAAGAGATAGTCAAAGGAGACCTGGGCTAGATCTGATAGTTCTTTGGCCCATGAAATGTATTAAGAGTAAAGGAGATCAACATTTCAAAACCCTGTCTAAAAAAGCCCTCCCACTTTATTTTTGCCTGTTTCTTGGGAACTGTCAAGACACTGCCACCTTTAAAACATAGCAACAGCTGTGCATACTTTGATAGAAGTTGATTCACATTTTTACTCCCATTTTAAACTTAAAGAACACATCTGTTAAGATATGAGTTTTATGCCTATGCTTCAATCAAGTTGCACCATTTTTCTCTCTCACCTTATATGCATAATGATATTGAGACAGCTGAAAAGAAAAGCCAGATGACATTTTCATTGTTTTGAAGGATAGTTCCTGCAACCAGCCTGCCTTGTCATAATGGTCATATTCCAGAATAAATGGATCTATGTGATAAATAACACCTTGGGGTTTTTGAAATCATCATTTCTTATGAAATATATTTGATACATATATACTTTCTTTCCTATCTCAACAAACCTCTGGTGACTCAATTTAATAAATAAGCTATATTCAATTATGTAAATTTATTGGAAGACTAACCTTAAATTTTTTTCTGAGTTGGTGAAGTGAATTGGCATTTATGTTATAGCCAAAAAATTGTCTGTCATCTCGTAAACATGATATTTTGGTGGGAATTGTGGGGTGCTCATCGCTGAAGGGTATAGCCCAACCTTATCTTAAATAATGATATTGCAGGGAAGATTAAAATATGTAGCTTGGCCAATTGCATAAAAATATAAACATATTTTTGTTTCCAAGTATGTAGCTTCTAATGCTGTTGGGGACAGGAATGGGTTATTTTTCATATTTTTTCATGGTACATCTTGTCCTCCTCATAAGAAGAATTGCCTTTCTCCCATGACAGGGAAAGAGAAACATGAGCACTGAGCCAAAATTTCTCAAGTTGACAGCAAGTATGACTTTTATGGGTGCTACAAGAATATGATCTATTCACTTGTAGCAGCTAGAAAAGATTTTGTAATTCAGACCAGATTGCAAAAGGTCACCCTTACGAAGATGAAATAGATGACAGGAATTTGCATGTGCTTTGTGTACGCAGTCTGAGTAGCATATATCTGGTCATGTGAATACTGTTTCCCATAGAAAGAGTGAGAGGCACAAATGAGAATCCCAGAATATAAAGGACCCCACAGACTGTCTAGCCCAATTCTTTCATTTTGTAAATGAAGAAATTCAGATTTATAGAGGTTGCTTTCAAATACTATACTGGAATTAAGTAAAAAAAAATGAATATTAGAACCCAGCAATCCTAATTTTATACTTTTGATCTTTCCAGTATGCATTTAATGACATATATTTACAGCCTATAAATAAATATGGATGCACAGTAAGTGCAAGGGGGAGGACATATTTCGATCTTTCTCTGTCAAGAGAATGAGACAAAACATATGAGTATCATATCATCTGCACTGTGAAACAGGCTAGCATTAGCCCTTTTATCAAGCACTTCTTACGTGCCAGGCCCTGTTCTAACTTTCTCACATGGATTTATCCAGGTATTCCTCACAATCACCCACTGGGCGAAGTAGTACCATTACCACTTGTTAGATTGAAAAAATAAGGAGAAACACACAAGTTAAGTAATGTGCCCAAGGCTACATAGCTTGAAAGTGCTACCCAGAATGAAAGGTCAAAGTTTGCATCTTAACTACTATCTAATACTCTCGCAGTGACTCTGAAATAGATACCGAGAGTGACAACATTTCTTTCATTCAAAAACTGTTCTTTTGCTCTTTGACTGAGGGTGGCCGTCTGTTTAAGGAGTCTGGGTTAGATTATGTGCACTGGTTCTTGTTTCAGTATTTTGACTCATTGTCTCACATGGTGAGTACTGATAGAGTTGATTGTATCGCATTTTATCACTACTTATAATGTTTTAAAAAATCACAAATTCATATTAACCTTTAAAATTTGTGTAATCACTCCTTCATTCATGAAATAATTATTTACTAAGTCCCCATCACCTCTAAGGATCAGCCTTCTGTCCATTAACAAAAACAAAGATTGCCCTGGTGCTTAAGCAGCTAGAGAGAGGGGATATTTTGTCTGGTTTGCTTTTTAAAAATATTTAACATACAATGAAACTCTCTCTTTTTTTGGTGTAAATGTCTATGGGTTTGACAAATGCATAGAGCTGTGTTATCACCAAGACAATAAGGATACATAACAATTTCATTACCTACAAAAATTCCCTCATGCCGCCCCTTTGTCATCAACCTTTTTACTGCCCCAACCCCTGCTACAAACACTGATCTGTTTTCCATTCCTATGGATTTGACTTTTATAGAATGTCATATATATGGAATTATGGACTATGTATGTAGCATTTCAATTCTGGCTTCTTTCACTTAGCTTAATGCATTTTTGATTTGTTGTGTGCATTGATATTAAAAGTTGACTCCTTTCTATTGTTGGGTAGTAGTATTCCATTGTGTGGGATGTACCACTGTTTATCCATTCACCTATTGATGGGCATTTGGGTCATTCCTAGTTTGAGGATATTATAAAAAGTTGGTAAGAACATTTCACATACAGATACTGTGTTAACACAAGTTTACTATCTCTTAGGTAAGTGCCTAGAAGTAAGATTTCAGGGTCCTAGGAAAAGAGTAATTTTAACTTTTTAAGAAAGTGCCAATTCTTTTCCAAAATGGTTGTAACATTTTGCACTGCCACCAGCAATGCATGAGAGCCCTAATTGCCCCACAGTCTCACAAGCACTTGGCATTATTAACAGTCCCCCCTCCCCTAGCCATTCTAATAGGAGCATATTTGTATCTAGCTGTAGTTTTAATTTGCATATTCCTAATGACTAATGATGTTGAGCTTTTCATATGCCTATTTTCTAGTCATGTATCTTCTTGGTGAAGTGTTGTTAAAATTTTTTGCCCATTTTTTATTGGATTGTTTTCTTATTGTTGATAGATCCACTTCTTAACTTCCTCACTTATCATGGCTAATGCTCAAGTTCTTGGATGCCTCTCCCTCTTCTGTCCTTACACTTGTCCAGTCATCAATATCACCTGGGGAACTCCAATCCTCAATATCACCTGGGGAACTCCAATCATCAATATCACGTGGGGAACTCGTTAAACAACACACAGTTCCCAAGGCCCATCCCAGAATTACAGAATCATAATCTTCAGAAGGCATGACCCAGAAATGTAAACTGTCTCTTTATGTGGAAATGCAAATTGGGTCCACAATGAGATATTACTACACAGCTAATAGAACTGCTAAAATAATAATTAAAAAATAATGACAATACAAAATGCTGGTGAGAATGTTGAGAAGCTTTTCTGGAAGTTGATAGGCATGAATAAATAAATGTCTAAGTCTTGCTCATTTTATGAATCTCAGACCTTACTGATGACTTCTATTTTATCCCATCCTTAGAGTTATCTAGCCACAGAAAAATAGAGATAGAAAAGATACAATATATATACTCTCAAATTATATCTATACACTAACCAACAAACAAAATTGGACCCAGAGAGGTGAAGAGGAGAAAATCTCATGAGAGAAACCATTTAGTAAAAAAGCAGGACAAGAACTTTATGCCAGAGCTGTTCACAAGTTATTCTGGAAATATCTCTCATTTTCAAAACTCTCAACACTTAATAGCTTTCCAGCTGTACCTGTAGAAATCCTATCATATTTTCTACAATACTTTTCTCCACACAGCATCTTTTCGATAAAACTCTAATCCAAATTTCTCTAACCCTAACTTCCTGTTGGTTTCTGCAGATAGTCCCATTTGTTTTTTTTTTTTTTTTCATTTAACCGGATCTCAAAAC